TACTCTACACATGAGACTATCCTAATGCATCAAGCAATGCCCAAACAATCATGAATAAAGGAAAGAGGGATGAACAATATGACATGTAAGGAAATCATTCCAAGGTAATCAAACAAGGCATCTAATCCTAGAGAGGAGGAAGTTGATGGATGGATGTATGCATGATATAAACCAAAGGAATACATCAAGGCATTCAACCAAAGATGAAATTTGGTGATGGGAAACATGATGTATACCAAAGGTATCCATCATGACATTCAACCATTCATGGAAGAATTGAATCATGGGAAGCATGATGTATACCAAAGGTATCCATCATGACACTCAACCATTCATGAAAGAATGAATCAAAATGGGAAGCGTGATGTATACCAAAGGTATCTATCATGACACTCAACCATTCATGGAAGAATTGAATCAATCATGGGAAGCATGATGTATATCAAAGGTATCCATCATGACACTCAACCATTCATGGAAGAATTGAATCAATCATGGGAAGCATGATGTATACCAAAGGTATCCATCATAACACTCAACCATTTATGGAAGAAATAAGCAATGCAAAGCAAAGCTAAAAGGGGAATCATCCTCCTAAAGGTTTTAGTGGAGACCCTAATGATTAGTTCTAAGGATCACCTAACCAAATGGATTTGGAAGCTCTATCAAGGCTTATTAATTGTTCTAAATAGGTATCAACCTAAGCTTTACTTTATCAAGAAGTAATTTGAAGCTTAAAGTTAGCTAAAGTTCACCTTAGAAGCTAAACTAGGATGTAAGCTAAGTTAGGATCACCCTAAACACTATCAACTTGTAAAATATGGGGAAAATAGGAAAATAAATCCTAAAAGGCTAGGAAAAATTCTAAGTCTTCCTAAGTGTGTTAAGGAATCGTGGTAGAAAATCCAGGGTCAAAATCTAAATCTAAAGGTACTAAACAATATCTACACTTCAAGGTATGCTAAAGGGAATCCACAAGGGGAAGGTCCTAGAAATCTATCGCAAACCTACACCTAAAATCATCTAAAAAATGCAAGAAAAATCATACAACCCTATCAAGATATCTAAATTACTCATGAAAAAAATCAGAACTCAATTCTAAAATATGAGATAGCACAAAAATCAGAAAGAAAATCCATCATTTTTCATATTTTTTAATCATCTAATAAAAAGGGAAAATGACAATAAATGGAAAATCATCCAAAAAATAAAATAAATAGCATACAAAAATCAGAGACAGGCCAAAGATCAATCATGATTTTTTTCATATTTTTCTAGCAATTATCTCTATTTTTAATGAATTAAAAATGATAAAAGCATTAAAAGAAATAAGAAAATGCATTAAAAGAATTAAAAAGAATTAAAAGCTGAGAATAAGTCATGGCCCTTGGATCTAATGACCAGTCAACTCATCCAATGCCATCAGGCGTGCCACGTAGCGCTAGGGAGTTTTAATGAAACGAATCCTTTCATGGATGCTCACGTGTGGTTGGCTTGACTTCAGTACACGGTAGTCTCTAATCTCACACGCTCGTGTAAAAAGTAGTACAATCCAACGCCATACAGCTTGCCACATCATCTGGTCAAGGTCAACAATCCTCAGAATGGATCTCACACGTTAGATCCTAATACTAAGTCCACTCACTCAAGATGATCTAACGGTTCACACATTATCTTCTTCGTTTTAAACTAAAACTTGAGGGGGGGAACTTATGGCGGTCGGAGAAGACTCCGGTCATCTTCTCCGGCGAGCCAACGGTGGCTAGAACTCAGACAACTCCAAACTTAACAAAAAATTACCCAGATCTACTCGTCTCTCCACCCTGATCATCATGCTCTATTTCTTTTTTTCATTTTTCTCAAAGCTCAGGCAAATACGAACATGAACAGAAATATCACACTTAGGCAAATCATCACCAAACTCTACAAAAAGCATACAGATCTCTTCTACGCATAACACTGATCAAGAATCCATAAATAAAACTTGATATCAATCAAGATTAAGGCCTAACTGAACCTTCCAAATTCTCATCCATCATCAAGAAACCTCACCAATGGCTCTCAGATCAAACCTAAATCCATTTATGACTTAAGTTCTACCTAACCACATGCAAGAATTGCTCTAATTCATCATCAATATAGTGTAATAATGAAAAGAAGAAAACCTAGTTTAAGCTTCAACAGAGGATGATACAACCACCAATCTTTATCCAAAACCGTGCAGAATCAATCCTTGATGATGGTAGAAGCTTCTTCAACCCTCAATTTCCTCAGAAATGCCTCAAATTGTGAAATTCGATTTCACTTGTAACTAACTTTTTGCAACTGCTTCTTACCTCTCCAAGCTCATTCCATCACCAAAATTGCTCTGAACTCATCCATGGTGTTATATAGAACTGATCTGGGCTGAAAATGGGGGCCCAAACTTGCTCTAAGTCCAATTTCCATTTTCACATTTTTCTTCAAAATTCACTTGATGAACTCCATGAGAATGGCTATATTTTGCCTTCATCTTAACTCAAATGCATTGCTGAGATGGTAGTGAGGTTGAAGGGTCAAGATTACTTCCTTGAATCCAATCAATGGTGGATCTTGATCATGCAACTTCATTCTTAAGAAACCTTGAATTTTGTCATGAACCAAACTTCAACTTGGAAATGTAAAAATGCCAAAGTGTTCTAAATACCTTTTACCTTCAAAAAATGCACAAACTTGTAACATCTTGAACCAAAATGAATTAATTTGGAATTTTCTCATTTTAATGCCTTTTAATTATTCATTCATGAAAATTTCTTCATACACTTCTCATTTTAATCCATATCAATGGATTCTTGGGTCATGGTTGTACAAATAACACCATTTTGAACAACTTTCAAGTTGAACAAAAGTCCATTTGAGATGTGTAAGATGGTGAAATTGACCCATAATAAAAAATGACCTATAATCTCAAATTCCCAAAATACCCTGGGCTTGCAAAGCTCATATCTTGAGTTCTACAAATCCAATCATGCACTTCTAGTACTTTTTGAAAAGCTAAGAAGATAAGGAACAACATTCATATTGGCAAAAAGTTCATGTGAAACTTCCTTCTAGGTCAAAAGTGTCATGCAAGTTGGTTGACTTTCAAGCTCCAAATTCACATTCATCTGATGACCTGTAACTTGTCTGATTCATAACTTGAGTTCTATAAACCCTATCAAGGACTTCTAGTACTCAAATTAAAGCTATGATCATGCTCTACAACAATCATGTTGGGGTCAAGGTGAGATGAAAAATCACATCTTGAGCTATGTGGTCTTGAAGTTAGGCACTAAACTAGGGGATTTTACACTGTCAATCATAGTAACCCTAGCCTAGGAACTCCTCACACTCTTGATTCATGATGATTTGACCTTGGAATCATCCCTTGGGCATATTAATACATCAATCCATGATCACATGGCCTTGAAATTAGGTCTCCACCTTCTTCAAATCATCTGTTGACCTAGGGTTGACTAGATGAAACCCTAGTTGCACCAATCTTGGTTGTAGCTTCTCATACCTTGCATAATGACCTATCTAGGCTTCAAAATGACTTTCAATACTTCTTATGAGATCTCTAAAGGCTTCAAGTCCAACTTCATGGATTTAGAATCATTTGAATAGCTCCCACAACCCTCAAGTTAGGAGATATACACACTTGGCCTCAACCACTCTCTCTGAGAATCTTTGGCTTCTTTGATGAGGATATCAACCCTTGGATACTTGAATAAAGACTCTTAGATAGCTTCACAACCTTATGTAGCCCTTTGTTGGTAGTCATACCTCTTGATCCCCTGCACACATGTCAATGTAATGCAGATGATAATGTTAAAATGAATGTAATGAAACACAAGCTAGGTAAAGCAAAAAGTTAGGCAAATTTTGGGGTGCAACACTATCAAAGTTAAAAAAACCTTCATGTCAACTGTACCTATTATGAGTGGTACAATCACCCTTTGGGTTTCCTTCAAAATTAAACTTCTGTTATTAGTTGTAAATCTTGAGGATTGTATTTGGGTTGGGGTACCCCTATTACCCCTTTATTATTAATATATATCTTTACTTATAAAATAAATGTCATGTATTAAAAAAATGTGACAGTTCAATGTGTTTTTGACAAAAATTAGGGATGGGTGACCAAAACTATTTAAAAATAAAATAGAAGGACTATTTTCATGAGTTCAACAAATAGAAAGACTAAAATTATAATTTAGTCTAATTAAATAATTAATTAAATAATATTGAACTAAACTAAAATTAATAATAAACTAGACATCCGTACGAATAAATTTTATTAAATTATTTCTAGTAAATATTGTAGTTTAAATTAATAATTTAATATATAATTATATGATTTAGCAATTATTTAATATAGTTTGTATGTCTTAAAAATATAACAATATATATTTTTAGCAAAATTGATAAAAGGGAAATAAATCATATACTAAAAGTAATAAAATTTATAGAGTAAAAAACATTAAAAAAAAGGATGTCGTTATTATTATTGGTATAGAAAAAAAATACTAATATAGTGTATTATATGAAATTGAATTAAAAAAAAGCCAAGTTGATGATATTTTGATTAGGGTATCTCAAGTAGATAGTAAAAGTTTAGACTATAATTATGTGATAAATGTCGCTTCATAAATTTAATTTTAAATGATAAAATGAAAATTTTGTTCTCTTTTATTTTTTGAAAGATTGAAAAATAAATAGCAGAAAAAAACAGAATATGAAAATCGAAAAAAAGTGAATAGTCAGAAATAAAAGAGAATAAATTATAAATAAGGGAAAATATGAATATGGATATAAATTAAAAGAAATTTCAATTTAATTAGTGGAATGAGAATTGAGTAAGTAGCGGTTGTGAGTGGTATGCTTCAAATTGATCTTCAAAAGGCATATGATATGGTAAATTGGGATGCTCTGGAGTGTAATATGAAGGAATTGGAATCCCAACCCAATTTAGTAGATGGATAATGATTATTGTTACTTCTGTTACTTATAAATTCAACATCAACGGGTATCATACAAAAACTATCCAAGCGAAGCGGGGTCTCAGGCAAGGGGATCCTATCTCCCCTCTATTATTTGTTATTATAATGGAATATCTTAACAGGTACTTTCGCAAAATGCAGAAGAATCCCAATTTCAACCATCACGCTGAGTGCGAGAAGTTACATATTACTAATCTGTCTTTTGCAGATAATTTACTTCTTTTTTCTAGAGGAGATTCTATGTCGGTGGAGTTGATTATGGAGGCTTTTAACGGTTTCTCTGATTCCACTAGCCTCAAATTAAACCCGGCAAAATGCAAAATTTATTTTGGTGGGGTGGATGCGGATACAAAGCAGAACATCATTAACATCACTAACATCACTAATTTTCAGGAGGGTCCTTTCCCCTTCAGGTATTTGGGGGTCCCTTTAACCTCTAAAAAATTATCTATCCATCATTATATGCCGTTGATTGATAAGATTATGAGTCGAGTTAATCATTGGAGTGCTAAACTCTTAAGTTATGCAGGGCGTGCCCAGCTTATAAAAAGTGTTACTTTTACCATTGCGAACTATTGGATGCAATGCTTTCCTATCCCTAGATCTGTTTATTCATAAAATTGAAGCTATGTGTAGATCTTTCATGTGGACAGGTGGAGTTGATATTAGTAGGAAGATCCCTATTGCTTGGGATAATGTTTGTAGACCTCTGATTTATGGAGGCTTGGGTATCATTGATCTTAAGATCTGGAATAAGATTACCATGATTAAACTGCTCTGGAACCTTAGTAGTAAAATTGACAGCTTATGGGTAAAATGGGTTCATAGTTATTATTTAAAGCATGAGGGATTGATGAACGTCAGTATCAAACCCCACACCTCATGGATTATGAGGACCATCCTAAAACAAAGGGATAACTTGATGGATATTCAACAGGTATGAGATCACATATTTACTAGCAACAAGTTTAGGATGAATGATATTTATATGGTAATGTGTAGTAATGCCCCAAAAGTAATGTGGAAGAACATACTCTAAAGTAATGTTGCTCGACCAAGGGCTCTGATTACTATGTGGTTTGCGTGTCATGGAAGATTGGCTACAAAACAATACCTTTTTCGATTTGGTATGATCACTGATGATAGATGTTGTCTGTGTGCTAAAGAGGAGGAAACTATTAATCATTTATTATTCTGCTGTCCTGAAACGGTGTGTATCTGGACCAAAATCCTAGATTGGATCCAGATTCCGCATGTCTCGCGACCGTGGGATGAAGAAATGGACTGGGTGTGCAGGAGTACGAGCGGTAAGGGTTGGCGAGCATCCCTCCTGAAATTGGCTATAACGGAAACTGTTTATGGTGTATGGAAATACCGTAATGACATTTGTTACGGTAATGTTATAGATAAGATAAAAATTGGTGATAATATTATAGATGTGATTGTTTATAGGGGGTGGTATAACCAGAAACTTAGGTCGCACATTGCTCACTTGATGACTTATTAGTGTATTTTTATACTTTTCATTTGGTCTTTGTGTCTTTTCTGAAGGCAGGATCCTCGCGATCGCCTTATACTTGTACTGCTTTTTTGAATTAATTCAATCTTCCTTTGATTCAAAAAAAAAATATTTTAATAAAAGTTAATTAATAATAAAAGAAAATATGTAATGTAAAATATATAAAATGAAGGTAGGTAAAGAGAATAGAGGATATAGGTTGAGATAGGAAAGTGGTTTCTAAAATCATAAAATCCAAAAGTATATGAAGTATTTATTTATTTTCCTTCGTTAACATGCTATAAAAATTGACACTTAAGATTGCAAAGACTTACACTTACAAAAGATATGAAATTTAAATTCAAGATTTAAATGCAGTTTTTGTTACCCCGTGTCTTTTGATAATTTCTTTTTTTCCTTATTTAAAAAATTATAATTTTATGATCTTTAGTATTAAATTTCATATTTTTTTTGACGCTCATTATAAAGTAGTCTTATTTGTACATCTGACATTTGAATTAACGAGGTATCATTATTTTTATTATTGTCATGTCATTCATAATATTTAAAAATATAAAAGTTTATAATTTTATTTTCTTAATTTTTTCTTTTTAATAATTAAATACTTTTAATATTTTTAATTTTTTATAAATATTTAATTAAATATTACAAATTCTAATATACATTTAGGCATAAGTTGCAAGTTCTTTACAACATCAACCTAATACCCAATTTTACAACAAACATAATATGAAAGTCTTGGTGTTAAAAATTCGATGTGGAACTTATACATATAATAACTACAACTTATGCTTTTCATAAGTTTGACACTGTCCCTGATCAAAAATGCATAATATTGAAAAACAGAATCACAATGCTTGTGAACATAACATCGATATATATCAAATAAATTTGTAAGAGGCAAACTGTGAACCATTTAACAATTGTTAAATTGTAACTCGGGATAGTCCAAACTGAATTGGATTTGCTATTTTCATTTTTTTAATCAAAAAAAAAAAGAAAGAAAGAAAGTAAAGGACTTAAAAGAATTTGGTTCAAATATACTTTTTTTTCAATTTATTTTGTTTAATTTTTTAAAATTCTTCTTTCCCTAACAAGATTTAGATTCTTAAAATCTATTTATTTTACAATTTATGCAATCAACATCAACAATTATATTGATACTTTAACTTAACTTTACAAAAATATCCCACTTAACAAAGCTTATTAAGGCAAATAATATGTGACTTTTAAAATTAAAAGTTCATTAGGCATTTGTCACTCCATGCGCTTTCAGCATGTTGACAAAGAAAAAGAGAAACAAAACAAACACTTAACTAGAAACTAAGAATAAGTAAATTAAAGTTATAAGGAGTTTGTGAATGTTTCTAAGATCCAAACTTTGGTACATTCAAATCCACCAAAATGCGGTCACAAATCTAGCTAACTTAAGAGGAGATGAAAACTAACAAAGTACATTTCCACGATTTTACAAAAGGTAAGGACCCAATTACAACATACGTTGGGTGGGGATGACCTTCATTTCTACTCACGAATCATCAAGAATTTGGCACCACGAAACATTTTCATCCTTGTCATTGTTTTTTCATTTGGCGAATGCATTCTTTTGCTTCTTTCTTTCGAATGGCCTCTGCACCGAGCTTTGCCTCAACCTCCTCCAACATCTTTTTCCTCTCCGCCTTTGTTTTTTGCATGGCCTCTTGTTGGATGTTTCGAAAGTTCTTTATGTACCTCTTGAGCAATCTTTTACGTGCAGTCTCTGTCTTATACTGAGCTTGAATTATATGTTATGCACACGAGTTAGCAAATGACCAAGCAAAAAATGTTCAATTATATTCGATATCACATAAAAATTTCTATTATATTTGATTCACAATTTCTTTTTTTCTTATTTTAATTCATGATTCATGTTACTATTAATTGTTGCTAGTGTGACATTAAAAAACATCATACAAAAAAAACTTTGTAGAGGATGAACATGTTATGTTGTTGATGTTCACGAGAGAGAGAGAGAGAGAGAGAGAGAGAGAGTGAACAATTTATGTTGTTGTTGATGCTCACGTGAGATAAATGAATATGTTATGTTGTTGATGTTCACGTGAGATAGAATGAACAAGTTATATTGTTATAGATGAACAAATTCAACAAGATTACAGAGTGACTTTGATGGTAAAGACTTTGCTTAATTTTGCAAAGGGAGTGTGTTCGAATCTCATTAATGGGAAAATCTAACAAAATTTATTTGCTCAACAGTCCTTGCCACCTCTGCAAATCTTTTGTGGACAAAAAAACCCAACAAATATTCAAAATAGAAGGATAAAAAAGAGCATTTCTTATTGCACCCCATGTATTTCTTAGACACCGTGCAAATTTCCTATAATGCCATTAGTTTCCAGAGATATATCTCTGAATGCACCATTTTTACACTTAAGGAAGGTCATTCTGGATGGCGCCTCGTGCATTTGCTAAAGATTTATTTCGGAGATATATCTCTAGAACAATTTGGAGAAAATATGAATATTAATCAGTTTAGTGAATGTTCCAGAGATATATCTCTGGAATATATGGGCGGCAATTTGAATTTTCCTGTCACTTTTACATGTCAGATTATTCCAGAGATATATCTCTAGAAGTATCTGATATATTTTTCAATTGTGTGATCAGTCCCCATTGTTTCCATACTTCTTTTTCAACTCAAACCCTCACCCCTAAAAACTCTACATTCTCAATCCCATTTTTCACTCTAAATCTCTGTCCTTTTGGTTCAACATATCACAGGGAGTAAAAGAAGATTAAATTTTAGGTAAAGATTGTTCATTTTCATCTACATTGCTCATATTAATCATGAAAGTTTGTTACAAAAAACTTACGCAGTGTTCGAAGATATATCTCTGAAACGTGTTGAACATGAACTTTTCCGAAGATATATTTTTCGGAATATTTCTGTGTTTATTTTCCATAATTTTCTGCAGCAGTAGATTAATTACTTTTAGTGTTTTTATTGTTTCTAATAGATAACATGCACCTCGATAATATCTCAAAATAAGTAATTGTTTCAAACGATGCTTCTTCGAATGTTCAGTGGCTTGTTGTAAAGTTGATAGATGTTGACAACAAATTTATTAACAAGCAAGAGTTTGAAAATCGGGATAACATGCTCGAATGGATTCGTATGGTGGCATCTAGACTTGGATTTGGCGTGGTTATCGGAGGGTCGGATAATGACTTAGATAGAAGACGCGCCTTTGTGACTATGTTGTACGAAAGAAGCAGGAGTTATCAAACACATGTATGGAATTTAAAGAGAGAAGAAATGGGTAGTAGAAAATGTGAGTGTCCGTTTAAGCATGGTGGTTACATGTTGGTTAGCAAAAAATGGAGATTTAATGTTATTTGTGGTTTTCATAACCATAAATTGTGCTTAAAATTAGCTGGTCATCCTAGTGTATTTCGACTCAAGCTGGAAGAGAAGGTATGTATTAATGATATGGCCTTGAATCTTGTCCAACCTAAAAATATACTTACAATGTTGAAACAAAAGCAAATTGACACTATATCAAATATCAAACAAGTATATAACACTCAGTACCTCACTAACAAGGCGATTAGGGGAGATAAAAATGAGATACAATAATTATTGAAACTGTGGGGCGATAACAGTTACGTGTCCCGGTACTGAACTTGCAACGATGAAGTTACGGTTAAAGATATTTTTTAGACTCATTCAAATTTGATAAAGTTGTTCAACACGTTTCCGACACTGCTCGTAATTGATTTTACCTACAAGACTAACAAGTATAGACTTTCATTATTTGAGATGGTTGATGTTACCTCAATTGAGAAGACATATTATGTTGGTTTTGCATTTTTAGAGTGTAAAAAATAAGACAATTTTACTTGGGCATTAAAGGTGTGTCAGTCACTTTTGAAGGATCAAGGTGAAATGCCTAAAACTAATGTTACAGACCATGATACCGCATTGATGAATGCGGTTGCAAAGGTATTTCCTTCCTCTTATGCATTATTTTGTAGGTATCACATAACAAAGAATGCAAGAAGTCGGGTTAAACCCGTGGTATGGACGAAACAAGTAGAGTCC